GGTGCAGTTTGTTGCGTGTTCGTGGGCGGCGTTTTTTGGCCTACATTTTTAGGTCGTTTACTCCTCCATCTTCCTCCATTTTCATTTTGAATCTGTTCTTCAGACGTGTTGCAGTGCACAAACAAACGTTCAAACCCGTAATCCTAAATAATCCTAACCCGTAATCCTAAATAACCCTAAATAAGCCGTCTAATAAAGCCCTTTCTGCAGTAGTATATAGACGTCCGAGAGGTTCACAGCGGACGTCTATATAGACATCCGGGCTGACACAGCGGACGTCCATATAGACGTCCGGCCGAACACAACGGACGTCCATATAGACGTCCGACCTGACACAACGGACGTCTACATAGACGTCACCCGAATAGACGTCCGTTGGAGGTCGAACGTTAAAAGGCCTAAAGAACGGACGTCTATGCCCGTTTCTGCACTAGTGTCAAGGGATCAAAGAATTCAAGAATGAAGTTATACTGTGTGCAAAACTTCAACATCGAAATCTTGTTAAGGTTCTTGGTTGTTGTATTCAAGAAGAAGAGAAGATGTTAATATATGAATACATGCCCAACAAAAGCTTAGATTCATTTCTTTTCGGTTGGTATCTATGTAAATTTTGTACATTATTTGATTTATTTTGTATTTCATTTTGAAAAGAAAATACTGATCAACAAAAATGAATATCATCAACAGATTCAACTCAAAGTAAACTTTTAGATTGGTCAAAACGCTTCAACATCATATGTGCAATTGGTCGTGGACTTCTTTATCTACATCAAGATTCTAGACTAAGGATCATACATAGAGATCTAAAAGCAAGTAATATTTTGCTAGACAATGATATGAATCCAAAAATTTCAGATTTTGGCTTAGCAAGACTTTGTGGCGATGATCAAATTGAAGGGAATACAAAGAGAGTGGTCGGAACATAGTAAGTATTTGTTAGAAAATATTACACTAGATATTTTTGAATATACTTATGAATTTTCATTCTCCATAAATCTTACAATTTAAAGACAAACATTTGATCTTTTATTTTCAAGTTATAATGTTTTCAATTATTACAATAACAACCATACAATGACCATAAATCAGAAAAGAGTAATGGTACTATGACACACTTTAACATTCATTTGACATAGACTAAAGGGTAAAATGGTCATAAAAGTGTAAATTTTTGTATTGTTTCAAGAAAGAAGAATAAGAATAGTTTCAAATGAATGTAAAAGGTTTAGGTGTGTCAAATAATCCTTTCTCATAGAAAAACATAACATAGTAACTTTTTTATTCTTCCTCTTCCAATGCAATATTCACGGTTACTTATAATAGTTATTTTATAACACCTACATTTAAGTTTATTTCTAGAATATTTTACTACCTATATTCATAACAATTTAATATCAAATTAAGTTTGTGATAATTTTTTTCAGTGGTTATATGGCACCAGAATATGCCATTGATGGTTTATTCTCCATAAAATCGGATGTATTCACCTTTGGCATACTATTGTTGGAGATTGTGAGTGGAAAGAAAAATACAGGAGTTACATATACAAGTGATACTTGTAATCTCATTGGACATGTAAGTAACAAAATCAGTTATATATAAACATAAAATTTAATGAAATGTATATAACAATTGGTTTTAATTGTCACAGGCTTGGAAATTGTGGAAAGAGAATGATCCAACAAAATTGGTTGATATGTATTTAGAAGACTCATACGTTGTATCGGAAGCCTTACGTTGCATTCAAGTTGGTCTTTTATGTCTACAACACCATCCGAATGACAGACCAAACATGGCATCAGTGGTTGTTATGTTGACCAATGAAACTATTTTAGCTCAGCCAAAGGAGCCTGGTTTCTTGATGGAAAGAGTGGTCGCTAATGAAGTAGAATCTTCTACTGAAAAACAAATATCTTTTTCAGTTAACGAGGTGTCTATTTCACTAGTGCATGCTAGATAATGTTTTTATTTCTTACACTACATATCAATCTAATACCAATCTATGTTTGACTCTTATTCTAATGATTTTATAAGTCTTATTACATTAAGTAGAACAGAATGTTTATGGTAGCTAAGTCATTATACTTTCATGTAATAGACTAATGATTTCGGTTGAGTTTGTTAATGTGTTTAATTATGTCCGTTTTTAGTGCCTTGTTGGTTTGACTACTTCTGACAATATAAAGATTCAATTCATTTTCATAAATAATGTAGTATTGTTATTTACATATTTACATAATGCCTACACCTAGTGGATAAGAAAAATTCAAAAATAGAAACTAGTAGTAGTAAAATTACTTCAATGTCATATGTATTTAAAACTCATTTTTAATGAAAACCAGCAAAAAATAAGGAGATTTTAAGAAAATTTTAAAGGTGTGATTTATTCTGTGATATTCATGTTCGTTTATATGTTTGTGGTACTAAATGATCCACACAATTAAAATATCTAATAGACCATTTAGAGACAGGTCGATCAGACAACGTGAATCGAGCGGTCAACCTTAGATAACAATTAAGATTAATGATGATTAACTTAAGTCAAAACACGAATATTACTCATTAGGTTGTAATTAAGTTGATGCTAATCCGAATTTCATTATGAAATCTATAAATACATCTTTACCAACTTTGATATCGGAGTATCTTCTACAAGTAACCTCCCAATATAATCGAACAAAACGAAGGACAAGTGGTGACACGAACAAATACTTGAACCTACAAAACTTGAAAGACTTATAACCTCAACCACGTAACCAAAACATTTGTAATAAACCAAAATAGAATTATTCTCTTATAAAATTGTACAAAACAGTTGTAATAAACCAAAATAGAATTATTCTCGTATAAAATTGTACTGACATAGATCTTTTACAAATCAACATTTCTTTCTCTACTACTTCTCCAAATTGGTATCATACACCTATGTGTTTTATCTTAAAATGAAATAAAAAAAAAATTTTTACAAGACACTTTGATCGTCACAACTCAATCTTCTACAACTTGTGCGTGAGTTCTTTCATTGTTCTTTGAATTTGGATAGCTTCCTTGCATGCTTGGATAACTATCATGTACTCAACTTTAATAATATACAAAGCTTCTCTGACTTGGATAATAACCAACTCAATGTCCCTCTAACAAGTGTAAACACAACTATATATTTGCTTTTATCAATATCACTCGCAAAATTTGAATGAATATATAATCTCTAACAACTATAATTTGATACTCGAAAACATTATTTAGAAAGTACTTAAATATATAACAGAAAATTAAGGTGGTATTTAGGTTCTAATAAGTTTCCCCGCCTAATAGAAAATTATTTAATTAGGTTTCTTCTCATTCAATTAAATTCTTTTTTTCAAAGCAAAAAGGAAGATATAATTATGAAAAAAGTTATTTTTCCATTTGTTAGGTCACATATATTGATTAATTATTTTTAACCTTAATTAAGGATACTTTTCTTATATAACTCAAATGTAACGATCCTTTTCTTAAAATGACATCTATGTAATCCTTTTGAAGAATTCAAACCTTTTAACATTAAAAATTACTTTCTATATTCATTTTGCCAATATCCAAATCTAGTAATTCTTTTGTAAAACAAGGAAACTAAAAGGTGTGAAATATCATCATTCTCATACATACATTCACCATTATCATCACTTGTATTACACTTTCAAAGATTCCAAAGAAAATGTTGCAAATGAATATAAAAGCAGACGATGATGGCCACAGGCAGTTTCATTTCATGCTTTGCTAGAAGACGTGAACTTGTAAGTCACATAAGCTCCCAAGGCCATAATCACAAGAATTGCAGCACCCATGTTTGCAACCAAAGGCTTTTCTTCTTCATTCAACTTTCCTTCTCCAATTTTGGTTACTATCTCTTTAGCCGAAGCAACCACTTCTTTTATTCCTTTCCCTATTCTATACATCTCATCATCCTCTTCTCTCTTTCTTTTCTCAGTGTTACTCTCACTGTTTTCTTTTCCCTTCTCTCCACCTTCTTTTGCTCTTGTCTTCATTATTTCTGCTCCTTTCCAAACCTCATCGTGATTAATGTATCTCTGACCTGACTTCATTCTCTCTTCAAGACTACTCCAATCAACTTTATCTTCCTTTTCATGGATTCTCTTCTTCACTTTTTCTATATATGTTGCAATGTCATTTTGCTTATTTTCCTCCTGCTTCTCCTGTTCTATTTTTCTGTCATCACCCACTGATGTCAGTTTTGGCTCAATTTCCTCTTGACCCTTTTGAGATTTACCTGTTTCCTTTACTGGGGTTGAAGCAAAAAGTGGTGAGGATTTCAACATGGTTTCCTCTTGAACAGTTTTTGGCCTTGGTGACCTATCTCTGATAGATTTTTCTCCTGGTTCCATTCTTGGGGTTGGAGATTTTGGAGGCATGGCTACTTCTTTAGGCTTTGGTTGATCAAGCACTGGTTTTTCTGAGGAACTGAGTAATGGAGTTGGAGGTGTTTTTTGTGCTGTTTCTTCTTGTGATTTGGGTGAAACTTGAGAAGCATTAATGGATTTCTTTGGCATTGTAACAGTGAGAGTTCCAAGTTCATACTTACCATGGAGTTTCTCCACCTCGCAATCTTCTGGAACAGAATATGTTTGCTCGAAATTGCTTATTCTGTTTCCTGCCAATGGTCGTTCTCCTGTCACCCTCACCAACCGAGAAGATTTCAAAAAATTTATCTTTATCTTCTCCTTTACAAAACCTGCATAATGTCGAAGATACTCATAGATTAATTTTAAGTTTAATTAATAATTTGTTTAGTATATTTAAGTATTTGATTTGTTTTAATTTTACTTAAATAAAGTTAATATTTATTAAATTGGTCATGATGTGATTTAGAAAATTTCACATGTTAAAATTTATAAAATATCATTTCTTATAATATGGATAGAATATGTTGCGTGTTAAAATTGAAAAAATAAAATAGCACGTGTTAAATCAGAAAATTTCAAGATGAAAAATAATTCAAATGATATATTAATGCTAATTTAATCGAATATACTGAATTTGAGGCTAAAGAGAATTAAAAACTTAATTCCAGAACCGACCTCTAGATTTGCATGCATGTCACACGTGTTGAGAATAATGATATATGCTTTTATATATATCAACTAAAATATGTTAATCATTTTTTTTAACAATTATTTTTACAATAAAATATGTATTACTGTTTTAATGGCTGTATATTTGAAACATATCAATCACAAATTATCTTGTGAAAAAGTTATAAAAAATTGTTAAAAAAATATGTTCATATGTATGTGTATGAAATAGAGAGGTTTTATGAACAGTTTGGTTGGAATATGATTGCATAACATGTGACTTTAATTTGGAAAAATCTTCTATGTTTATAATTGTGTCAGGAAATCCTTTTGATGTAACAATAACATTTAACTAGTTTTCTTCTGTTAGAATATTTCATATGTATAAATTATAAATGCATTATTTAGTTTAAGAAAAATATATATATATATATATATGCAGTCTAATCTAAAGTTTTTCTAAAAAGTTAATTTTATAAAAAGAAATATAATTAATGCTTGATAAACGAGTGCCTCAATAATTTTGTTTGCGACAGAGATATTTTGATGAACATCGCATATAAATCTTACACATAATCCAATAGTTACTTTAAATTTTAAGTATATACAAAGTAAAAGATTAAATAAATAGGATTTAAAACACTTTTACATATGCTTGCCAATTTACAGTTTCTTTTTTCAACTATTAGCATTTTTTTGGGATACTTGTTTTTGCAAATATGTTTGTAAACTTAAAACTTTTGGAAAAAAATTGCAGATAATTAATTTTTATTAAATTTCACATAAAAAAAATAAAATATAGAAGAAGAAAAAATCCAGTAATGAATCTTGACCATATAGTTATTGTGTAATATTGTGTCTTGTAAGTCGTTATAATTAAATTAGATATTTGATATTTATTATTTAATTGTTGTTATGAGTGAGATGAAGTGGTATATGTAAAGTGATTAAAAAGATTTATACTGTCCCTAGTATTTAGTTCCTGACATAATTATTTACACTCAGATGTAATTTTATTGATGAATAGAAATAGAAAAATAAAAAATATGTTTGAAGAAAAGCACGTATAATTAATAATGATAAAGAAAAAAGTGAGAGAATGAAAAGTAGTGAGTGAACTGACCAGGAAGATAAATAAGAAGAAGATATGCATTTTCATTTTCCTTCATCTCTGACTTGGGCTCAAAGGTTTCATACAAAGGACGAATGGAAGATTGTGTTCTTGTTGATCTTGATCTTGATTTTGGTGTTCTTGCTCCAGAAGCCATGATTTGGCACTTTTGGTTGGAATCTCACAAATAATGAACTGAAATGTTTTGAGATAGATAGGGTTCTACATATGTAAGTTATGGAATTGAATTTATATACATGTGCCTCTTGCTTTCCTTGTTCAAGAGACTATTCCTTTTCTGTACTTTGGTTCGTTAATGGATTAGGGTTTGATTTTCCCTTCCCTGCCTAGGCAAGTTCAAGCATAACTTCTTTCCCAAATAAAGCAATTGTTCTTTGTTTTTCCTCTACACTTACAGAACAATGTCAGAATGCCAAAAATTATAAGGGTTTTGCTTATAATTTTAGGTTTTTGAACCCAATTCTACCAACTTCTATTGGCTGTTCACATGAAGAAAACACTTTCGGTCATTTATCTTTCTTTCTTTCTTTCATCTTCGTGTTTCCTTTTCTTTCTTTCTTTTATGTCAAGTTTTCTACCTAAACTATACCTTCAAACTACTCCAACCAAGGTTTTTATACCCATCCTCATTTTTGTGACCTCTATTTTTCTTAATTATATGTATCGTCGCTTTTTATTAGTAAATAAACATTTGCCTTATAATTTAGGCTCGAACATATTTTTAATTCATACAAAATAAGCTAGTCTTATTGTTGATCCATATAATTTCTTTTCTTAATTTTTTTATAAAATTAAGAATTAGTTTCGAAGTCCTAAAAGTATTCAAATTTGAACTTTTAATTCCTTTCAAGTAATTATCTTTAATTTTCAACTTCCAAAAAGCACATCATTTAAGGTATACAGTATAAGAGTCAATAAATTAGGGAATACTGTGATTATATGATTGTAAATATTGTTTTAATTTGCTTAGAACACTATGTCTGAGATAAAATAATTGATTATATAAAAGAACAAAATTCATAATTGGAAGTTAGAAAGATGAATAAATTTGGTAGTCCTAATCTTCCATTCTAAAGAAGAATATCAGCTAAGTGTCATGATTCTGTCAACTACCAAATAGTGACAGGGACTCTCAAACTACAATAGCAAGATCAAATGAAGCTAAAATATTACGATATTACACAACCAATTCAATTTCATCCGGATGGTAAGCAGATAAATGACAGAAATACATGTTATAATAAATATGCATGTCAAAATTTAATGATATTGAAAAAAAATTGTCAAACAGCTAGTGACTTGTAAAAATAACATCCGGTACTGATAATTGAAAAAAAGAACAAGAAAGGGTAAGGAAGAACAGAAGGGCCTGACTAAACCTAAACAATGTTTTGGGACTTGTTTAGGATGACACCTTCATATTTAACTTGGAACCACTTCATGGCATCCTCCTTTGTCACTCAGTGCTGGATTCCAACACGAGACTTGCAACGACGACGACGTCCCACGCGATATCCAGGGCGCTCCAGAACAACAAAGAAATCCATTCCATAAATACCAGTAGAAGGATCATACCTAATTGATGCACACAAATCTTATTAACATTGATTGTTTCTAAAGCACCAGAGAGAAGATAAAAATACCAAATTTTCAATGGAAGATAATGTTACATACGTTGTTGCAAGTAGAAAGGAAAAATGGATAATAAGCTAGAAATATCAGGTTTTCAATTAAATGGAAATAGTATATTCTGAAGTCAAATTCATCATGAATCACAGACATTCAGCACGGTAGACAAGTTCAAACTATGTTACTCATCATGAAATCCATCCCAAACGAATAGTAAAAATATAATGGTAAAGATTTTCACGCTGACAATTAACTAAGTACAACTTTTATGCTGACAATTAACCAAAAAACAAAAATAGCCATATATAACAATGTCTACTTGAATGATATTAACTCAAATAATATAACTATAAAAAAACTCATTGTAATAGACTTAATTTTTTAACTAGTACACCTATTTCTTTGATTTTTTCTGTTCGACTCTTTTCCCTCTTTCAAATAAAAAGTCAGAAATTTCCCCACTTCTTTCTTCGGTTCTTCCTAAGCCATTGTCATCCATCTAAACAGACCAACTATTATATTTGTTTTATTCCATATTTCCCAATTTCTTAAAAATCGTAGTTTTCTTCCACTCCCTATTTCAGTTCTACATACATAAGCATCTATAAGAAAAAAAATTCAATCATTTGAACTGTAAGAAGTTACTTACAACATACTATATAAACTCAGAAAATGAAATTGGTGTGTAAATATTATGAGCAAGCAGTTATGTCATTCATAATGAGAAAATTACTTGATTCCCAAATCAATGTGCTCCTGAATGCCGAAGCCGAAGCAACCAGTGTCGCTGAAGTTTCTCCTCAGGAGCTCGTACTCCTTAACTTTCAACCCACTTTCCAAAAGCTGCATCGCCTTGTCACCCCTCACCGTCACATAGCATGCGATCTTCTCGTTCCTTCTAATCCCAAAGGAACGCACAGTGTACCTTGCTGCAATACCCAATAATCAATTGCCAAAGAATCATAATAATATTAATGCTAGATCAAAGTTTCTTTGTCAAAAAAATATGGTATGATTTTTTTAACTTAGGGATAACTTCATGATTAATCCAAATTTGAGTTTAAACCCTTTCTTTGAAGCCTTTATACACTTGCATTACAAACAATGTTACATGAAATAAGTTAATTACAAATTGTTTACATGAAATAAGTTTGTTTTTGTTGCAAAGCACGTATTCAGTGGCATGAAGGAGTTTGAACAAAGGGACTAAACCTCGTTTTCTTTTAAGTCACAAAGACGAATTTTAAAATTCAAGGACAAAAACAAATATAATATAAATAAAGAAAATTAAAAGTAATTTTATCTGCATTACTTAAATTATTGTTTGATCTTAACAATTGCATCAAAATCCAAAACCAGATACTCAATAATAGCAAAAACAGAATGATAATACCTTTGGAGAAAACAGGAGTTTGGCCACTGAGTTGTTCGAGCACCTATGTAGAGAGAGAGAAGACAAGAGGCATAACTGAAGGTGAAAAACATGATAATATTATCTCAAAAATTAAAAAATTAAAAAAAAAAAAATCAGTGCCTTGGCAGCGCGAGTGAGACGATCACCGCTCTCGCCGACGGAGATGTTGAGGACGAGTTTCTGCACTTTGATTTCTCTCATGGGATTGGACAGTTTCTTCTCGGAGGCCTGCGAAAACGATAAGCACATGAGAGAGTAAGATAGAAAGAAAGAACTGCAACGAAAGAAAAGAAGAGTAAGAGATTTTGAGTTTACCATTTGTGAAGGAATGGTGTGGAATCCCGCGCAGAGAGTAGTGTTTTTGCAGCGGCAGAATAAAGGAACGAGACTAATATGCGAAGGAATAGGAAGAAGGAGACTAGGGTTTTTTCTTTCCTAGACTCCATTGGGCCCGATTGCAATGATGCCCCAAAGGCCCACAAGGGCGTGCCGGATCAAGCACAATAAAGCCCATAAAATACTAGTGTTTTCTTTTTCACATCTCTCTCTATCACTATTTCTCATCTGTCCCTATTGTCCTAAGGTGTCCTTTTTTCAAATTAATAAATATTTATAATATTAAGCAAAAAATACACTTATTTTCCTTCCGATTATTATGAATAGCTCTCTATAAATTTAAAATAGATACTAATTTCTTTTATTTTAATAAAACTAATTTTGGAATGAACATTCCTTTGCTTTATGTTTTTAATAATAGTTTATCTTCTTCTATTTTAATAAAGTAACCTTTCTTATTTTATTTAAAATTGATGTTAACTAAAACTTGTTTATAAAACATTGTAAAAATTAAAAATTAAGTTTTAAATAAAGAAGTAGAGATAAAAAGAGTTGAATGGTTTAATTATTATATTAAATATATAATAAAAGTTACACTGAATAATAAATTGTCTATCCATGTAATGTTCAAGAGATTCTTTTCCCATATAATAAATAAATAGCCGAAAAAGACTTAATTAACTTTATTTGTTGATTATATTATTATTTCATCAATAACATATAAGAAATTTTTACATAGTAAAAATCTGTACAAAATTCTCACCTTCATCATAAGGTGAGTATGCTATTTCATACAAGTTTAGAATAGATAAGAACAAACTTAAATTTTATATTTTATATTTTTAATTTTTACAACTTTTATGTACAAGTTTTATTGCATATCTTTTCGAGTAAAAAAAGAGTACATTTTATTTAAAATATAAAAAGTCAATTTATCTATTAAAAATACAAAAGAAATAAATGTTTATTTAAAAAATTAAAGGGAGTTGATAACATTTTCTTGAGGTATAAGAAAAAAATTAAAGAGAGTCTCAATGTCATTTAAATAAGTTCATTTTACCTTAATATTGAAGATTCTGAATGATTAAATATTTAAAAAGTGACTGATAATTATTTTATAGTTATATTAAGATTATACTTTTTAATAAACTTTAATGGGTTAAATATGTTTTTAGTCCCTCTATTGGTCGTTTCTGGTTTTAGTCTCTCTTTCAAAATAAGGTACAATTTGGTCCCCATTCTTTTCGAAACTTTGGTTTTAGTCCTCTAAAACTAACACCGTTAAAATTTAGCTGACGTGGCTAACGGTAGACTGATACACTATTTTTTTTCAGTGTTTCTCACCATTTCTCCCTCTCTCTCTTCCATCTTCCACCCAACTTCATCTTTCACAGCATCTCCGATCACAAAGCTGGCAACTTCTCAACCAAAGCTGGCAGCCCATCTTTTGCATCTGGAAGGAAAAAGTACATGGTGAATTGGCGTTTATCTTCGCCTTGCTTGTAGGGAAGACCAAGGACTTTAAAACCCTCAAAAGGCCTTATGAATTACTTCTTCTTGCTAGTCATGAAGGGAACCTTGACTGATTTGCCATCAAGAAGGTGAAAATCATGGTCTTTTGTAATTGAAGCATCAAACTTCTCATTCCACGCTCCTTTGAAGTACAGTACATTTGCAAAGATGAGTTTGGTTGTACTGTCAACAGATCCAGCAGGAAGAAGCTCTTTTACAAGGCCATTTGTCTCCTTTTCGGCCCAAGAATTAACTTCATTGGCCACTTCAACAGCCTTAGAATTTTAAAATTATTATCAAATTTAAAATCAATTGTATAAATGGACAAGTGCCCCTTTTATCTCATGCATTTCAATAAAAGTGTTTAAGTTTTTGAAAAAAAAATTCCCACATAAATACGACTGTAACAGACAACAATGAGAAGAGCTACAAAAACAGACCATCAAGTCGATAAGGGAACAATTCCAAGGAGAGCTACACCACGTACTTTTTCCTTTCAGATGCAAAAGATGGGCTGCCAGCTTTGGTTGAGAAGTTGCCAGCTTTGTGATCGGAGATGCTGTGAAAGATGAAGTTGGGTGGAAGATGGAAGGAAGAGAGAGGGAGAAATGGTGAGAAACACTGAAAAAAAATAGTATGTCAGTCTACCGTTAGCCACGCAACTAAATTTTAACGGTGTTAGTTTTAGAGGACTAAAACCAAAGTTTCGAAAAGAATGAGAACCAAATTGTACCTTATTTTAAAAGAGGGACTAAAACCAGAAACGGCCAATAGTTTAGGGACTAAAAACATATTTAACCCAACTTTAATTGATT